GTGGGATTGACCGTTATATTATAACGTCCCGACGGCTGAAAGGGCGAGCATATTTGGTGTGACGGGGATTCGAACCCGCGACCCTCAGATTGCGAGTCGAGCGCCTTAACCACCTGGCCATGCCTGGCCACAAATATGACTACTCACGTTAAAAGCCTGTAAAGCTACTAATCTCTTTTTTTTTGTTTAGCAACATTATACGTGACCAAACTGATGGAGTGGTAATGAGTTCAAGGTTAGTATTGGCACCTCACAATGTTCCTTTGTTATTATGAAAAACAGTGGACGAAAGATTGTTTTTTGAGTTTTAAGCTTATATATTATCGATTGCTTTTGTCACCTTTAACGATCCGAAATATGTTGACCGAGGTGGTCTAATAACCAACATAATAGTATATGATCCCCAGTAGAACACCCACAAAAACATAACTTGGTTTTCTTAGATACACTGACATACGCTAACAAGGGCGAGTTTGAGTGTCAAATGTACCGTAAAAAGTCATTTACTGGAATATGTTTTAAGTTTAATAGTTTCATTTCAGATTTTTTAAGATCTTAATTCGTCATGCTTACAAAAACTAGTTGTTGTTGTTTTTTTAAAAAAAAGGCTTTGCAAATAACATACACATCACGCACGATTACTTGAGTAAAGTTAGCAATATTAATAATACTATATATTCAGTGCTTGAAGTGGGGCGGGAGGAGACAGGATGCCATCCCACTTCTTTTCAGGAGGGACCAAAACTATTCCGCTACTATTTGGTAGAATGTAAGCTTCTCAGTAAGTATTTACGGGACTGGGAAGAGAAACTATAAAACTATTCCGCTACTGTTTACTAGACTGTAAGCTTCTCAGTAAGTATTTGCGGGACTGGGAAGAGAAACTATAAAACTATTCCGCTACTGTTTACTAGACTGTAAGCTTCTCAGTAAGTATTTACGGGACAGGGAAGAAAAACTATTCCGCTACTGTTTAGTAGACTGTAAGCTTCTCATTAAGTATTTACGGGACTGGGAAGAAAAACTATAAAACTATTCCGCTACTGTTTAATAGACTGTAAGCTTCTCATTAAGTATTTACGGGCCTGGGAAGAGAAACTATAAAACTATTCCGCTACTGTTTACTAGACTGTAAGCTTCTCAGTAAGTATTTACGGGCCTGGGAAGAGAAACTATAAAACTATTCCGCTACTGTTTACTAGACTGTAAGCTTCTCAGTAAGTATTTACGGGACAGGGAAGAAAAACTATTCCGCTACTGTTTACTAGACTGTAAGCTTCTCAGTAGGTATTTGCGGGCCTGGGAAGAGAAACTATAAAACTATTCCGCTACTGTTTACTAGACTGTAAGCTTCTCAGTAAGTATTTACGGGACTGGGAAGAAAAACTATAAAACTATTCCGCTACTGTTTAGTAGACTGTAAGCTTCTCATTAAGTATTTACGGGACTGGAAAGAGAAACTATACATTTTTTAAAATCGAAATGTCGTCTAAGAGCGAGATAGAAATGAAACAAACTTGTACACGATGGATGGGTGAATGAACCTTCTCGCTACGGGCTAAGTTCTTAACCACAAAAGTAACCATCAGAGTTTCCATAATATAACTCGTAACGGTATACGTTTGTTTGCAGTTAATTATACTGTTTTATTACCTTTTGAACCAAGTTTAACTAATAATCACGTCAAACAAGTTGTAAATCATTCGGCGAACGTGCAGCTCACGTTATAACGTATCGAATTACGCAACGCACGAACTGCTCACGTGTATACTTCGTGAAAAATTTTTATTAGTATTATTATGCTTTGTTATCTCACCTAATCTAACCTAATAAGTTTCTAATTTTATATTTTAATTACTTTAATAATTATAAATAAACAATACACATGAACAACAAGAAGTATGGTACTCGGCTTCAAGAATTTCACAAACCATCCCCGCTTCTTTTTTTTTCCAAATTCAATCACTCTATATATTACAAATACAAGTGAAAAATCTATTGCACGAGCGTTTTTAAAATAGCTTATTCACATGTGGAATTAAGAGATGTCATTAGATCAGAGAGCATACTGCAATATTTTATTATGTTCAAAGACCAAATATCGTTGCTAAAAACGTGTAATATTGTATTAAAAATGAGTATATAAACGTGTAATGTGGTAGTGTATCAAACATGTTAAAACTACAAGTAGACAATAAGAGTACATACTCAACCATATTATTAGACAAACACAACTTGCTAATATAAATAATTACACAAATATCCAAAACTTCGGGATTAGATATCTTGAAAACCTTGTTGATAGTATCAGTACTTACACAAGCCAATCAATAGCTAACAGTAAGGATATGTAAGAAGGATTCCTGATTCCCACAGACGAAAGAGCTGCCAATAGAAACACAGGATTTGGACCTCCAGCTATCCCTGGCGCTGCCACCGTCAGCAATACTGTTGTGAGACTGGAAAAATAGTTATTGACTGTAGTTATTTGACAATAAGAAATCGTTCGGCTACTGCTATGTATTGAGTTATTACAAAAATTCTAAAGGAAAATTTTAGTTCATAACACAACAAAAAAGATGTAGGAGTCACTAAACTCTTTATGATACAACAATGTCATAAATGCAGTATCGTTGTTCTATCTTATAAAAGAATACCCAACTCACCAAAACAGTAAATACTCGGACGGCCACGAGAGTTATATGTTTTATGAGACGCACAATAATAGCTACATTTAATAAATGTATTTAAAATTTAATACTATATTTATAATAAATACACTTTAAATCTCGCTAAATTGTAACAACTTTTCTACGCATATCTAAAGTTAATGGCGTACTTTCCAATATAACACTGATAATAAAATAAAAGACAGAGCAATGATCTAAGAAAATTTTGATGATATAGATATTCACCAAACCTTAAACATTTATTTTCAAGCCCCCCTCCTCCGGTGGAGTGACGGCACGTTTACAGACTTACGATGCAAAAATCCGAGGTTTGATTACCGTGGTGTATAAAATGCAACTAGCCAGTTGTGTAGTTTTTACACTAAGAAAACAACAACTACTTGTTTTCATTTTACCAATCTCTACGGAAGTGTTGATTTTTAAAAGGGTTTGTAAATTCCAAAACTACAGAAAAAAATCCATTCAAGGAATAAAATAACTTTTATTAACTAAATTATTACACACAAATTAAATAATACAGTCATCTTATGACAGTATTATTAGCACGTTAAATAATACGAATAGGATAGGAGGAACTTAAAACTAATATATGTATATATATATATATTATTTACTCTTATCAACAAAATTATATGCGTACAAATTATTACAAAAACGTTTGATATTTTCAACCTTAACGTTACGTAAATAATCGTTAAGCAGCTGCCACATGCAGCCAGTTGTAGTCATGGTAACGACCAAAACGGCTCACTGCATTTCAATGAAGAATGGTTATTCAGTGATATAAGTTTGAAGGTAATTCAACTGACCTATTTCTACAAAATGTATTGCTGGTAACGTATCCAAGGAAATGGAAGGCCATTTGACGTGGTAGTGTGGAAAATTAGCCCAGCCACCAAAAATTAATAATTTCTGAGTCCATGGAACTTTGAATCGTGATAAGATATGAAATCACACATCTGATAATAAATCATTTACTCAAGACTTTGATGAATGTTTAGAGTTGTAGCCCCGCTCATTCATTAGCACACAGACTTACAATTTACAGAAGGTCTGCAGTCAATAAGCCTCTTATCACAGCAGTGAATGTAAGATAGCGACGCCGGAAACATTGCAAAAGTGGGGTCAATGAAAAAAATTTAAATAATTTCTAAGCGAGTGTTGCATTCCCACAATTTTTCTTCAAAATAAAACTTTTAATTGATTTAATTTTATTAACATGTGTTTTTAGATAATAAAATAAAAGAAAGTTTAGCCCTAATTGTCGATTTGTAGCCTCATGTTGGAATTTATATCCAGACTGCGGAAATAAATAAATTTCCTGCTGGAGAAGAGACAACAAAGACGGAAATGCGTGGAGTTACAACAATTTTCAATTATACATTGTTAAAATTTCGTTAAAAATTTCTTCTTCTTCTTGCTGTTAAAAGAAGTAAGCATGACTCTCCTTTTAAAAACGTGGGCGGGAAATGGCCCGTTGTCTCCTCCCCCCGTCTCCGGTATCTGTTTTGTATTGTATTGGTTCTCATGATGTCTTGAGCATAATTATGGGGAATATCAATGGGGAACCATCATGTGTGGAATTAATCCTGTTATGTTCTATTTGTGGGTTTGATAAGAATTGCGAGAATGCCTCAAAGTCTATTGAATATCAGATAAATCGGATTTAAATTATAAGGACAAAGTCAGCGGTATATGATACAAGTTTTATTATAAGCAGATTTGAAGAAGTACTAAATATTTCTCAAATTTGATACGTTTTAAAAAAAGTATATTTTTTTTTTATTTTAAATTAAAATAAAAATTAAAATAAGAATAGGGTCAGTGTTTAAAAATGTTCCTCGGTGGCACAGCGATTTGTCTGCGGACTTATACTGCAAGAAACCAGGTTTCGATACTCGTGGTGGGCAAGGCACAGGTAGCCCTTTGTGTAGCCTTGTGCTTAATAACAAACAACAACAGTTTTTAAAAACGAAATCCTTTAAATAAATTACAACGAACGAGAGTATTGTGTCTCTTTTACGGATTTCCAAGCTTTGATAAAATTTCAGAAAACTTGATGTAATTGCTTCTGTTAGAACAATTTTTGCTAGTGCCGGTATATCACTGACTAAGAACAATGTATATAAATTGGATTTTAGCCCACGGGAATTAATTACTTTGAAGTGATTTATTTCAGCTAATGAGAAATATGCACTTCAGTTGCGATAGAAAAGCCTATCATGAAAAATAATGCAATCTTAGTACTGTGATGCAAATTGTGGCTTCTAAATTTGGCGAGAGACCTATATTCCGCAAAATTTCCGACACTGGAGTTTGTTTTATTCTTCTTATTGTTATTCAGTTTTTTTCATCATTCTTATCATCATAAGAATTTTGAAGTAGTTTTTCAAAAGATGAGAGAGCTTTAATTACGGGTAACAATAATTCAGATGTATGGAATGATTACAAATATACCTCAAATTGTTATCGGCTTATGCCCCTAATATAACCTTATACACATACTTCTATTTATGTAACATAATAACCTGAATGAACATTAGGCTTACCCCCCAGTGGCACAGCGGCATGTCTGCGGACTCACATCGCTAAAAACCGGGTTTTGATACCCGTGATGGGCAGAGCACAGATAGCCCATTGTATAGCTTTGTGCTAAACCGATACATTCTACTTCAAAACCTGAACTAATAATCTATGTACGTATCTCCCAAAATACACATATAAAATTGTCCTATATGTACAATTTTATCTATGTTTGGTGGTTTTAATTGTAATTTACGAAATATTTCGATTTCACAACCCCCCCCCCCTCAAAGTTCAAACGATTCTTTTTTCTTTTTCTAAAAAGATTCACAAATTCTGTTGAAAAATTCCACGAATTGTATCCCACAACTAATCTTGAAAGTTCTACGCTTTATAGGGCCTCTCTATTTACATTCAGTTTCTACCTTTACTGACTTACCACTCCCTTGCCCAATTTTAAATGTTTTTTTTTTTTGCTTTTTGAATTTCGCGCAAAGCTACACGAGGGCTATCTGCGCTAGCCGTCCCTAATTTAGCAGTGTAAGACTAGAGGGAAGGCAGCTAGTC